GAAACTAGGCGCCTCGTGTTTTTGTTGATCAAGTCTGCTGAAACTGAGTCGCGGGTTGACCCCTCGGAACTCCAACCCGACTCATGCATGATTGTGCGGGTTTCATAAGTTGCCTCTCTCGTGTCTGAAGGAAGAAAGACACTAATTATTTCTTTCTGTGCTTTTTGATGACGTCTCGAGTATTCGAGTAAACTCCGTCTGTTTAATTGACATGTGGACTAACGTTCGTCCCTCGGTCGGGCACCAACCTTCCGTATCTCCCTTGTCGACGCGCCCCTTCCCCTATAACAAGGAAAGGACACGTGTATGCGAATGGGACGTACGGGAAGCTGTAGCACGCATTTGCGGACAATATTACTTCCCTCCTGAAAATCGTTGTTCCGGGTGCGTGGATGCGGGTTTTGTCATCATCGATACGCATTTTCCACCTAACTCAGTGTTATTGTCGTTTAATGAGCTGATCGTCATTCCGTGGACGGCAGTGGCGCCCTATTGGCCTCGAGCGCTGTGCACTGAGTGCCAGCGTTTCGATCGCTACGAATCAAAGGGCTTCCACTACCGGATACGGAGTGAGGATGAGCACAAGGAAAGAGCCACGCGTCTGAGACCATCCACGTCAGACTCAGAACTGACTAACGAGAGACGTCTGGACTTGATACGGAAACTTGATACGCGGAGTGTGCCGAAGCCCTTCCGCTCTAAACAAAGATCCGTAGCGTGGTGGGAAGCTCGACAATACTTTATGGATTGAATTTGGATTTTTCTCTTTTCGCGCTGTACCCGCACGCGCATTCCGCGACGTGTGAAAGCAACCGACTTACTTCATCGGGCCAACACGGAGGATTTCAGTTCTGCGTGTGTCCCCACACTCAATTTTCCAAAAATCCTTGGCACACCCCATCTTGCTGTTTTTCCTGAGCCTTCATTCCGCACCTTTAACACTCCGAACGAAAGACAGCCCAGGGCGTGAGGTTGGTATCGGAGCCGACACGTGTCGGTACTGATGATAGTAAGTCGAGCTGGCGAGAGGTAGAAGAAGTCCTCAACCCGCTCGTCGATATCGTCCAGTGACCAGATCAAGATCTGGTGCAGCTATACCGGCTATGCCAATGGCAGCCGGTAATGTAACACCCTTCAGAGTAATTGTTAGTATTTCCGCCCATTTTCCCTTCTTTCCTAAGCTTGGTTGGAAGCCTTGAAGCTCAAGGGTATGGCGCGGGAGATCTCCCTCGCGTCCTCACTTTGCTGCTTCGCAACACAGCGCATGATTGGTTTAGGAAACACACGTGGGTAGACTAGAACACCTTTAAGCAAGCCTTCTTGGCTAGATTTGACACAGTTAGCGAAGATGCCGTTTGGGACGTGCTCAAGACTCAACCGCAAGGACCAGGGGAATTGCTGCCTGACTTCGTGGATCAATTTCAAACTACGTTAGACAAATTCGGGCGCAATGAAAAGTCCGCCCGAGATTTGTTCATCGATCATCTACAAAGTCCGACGTTAAAAGGTAAGTTGCAGAAAAAGGTTCCCCCTAAAACGCACCAATTATCCGCTATCATCGCTAAGGCACTTAAGTTGGACCTGGCGGATACAAAAAAATATATCAGTCAGGGAGGCGAAGACATTACGAACACGATCCAAGATGTCACGGCGAAAAGACGATCATGGTTGCGAGTGGTGGAACGTTTCTACCCTCGGCCTGGTCATGACCTTCCCGCAGGGGCTGCCTCTGATATGCCGTCAGTCCTTTCCACCCCTCCTCAGTCCCTCTCAATAAATCAACAGGTAGCTACGGTTAAACCCAGAAGCTCCGAAGATTCTTCCCCAATAGCCATAACAAACATGCATCTAGCACATATGATTCATACAGCTACCACCAAACAATCAGAATGGATGAGCAACCTGGTCTAGATGCAGACGGCTCACATGGATCGAATGGAACAGATAATGAACAGATTAGTTAAGCCCAACCCGACTTCTGCTCGACCCGCCCCTGCATCGTTCCCGCTTTTGCCTGCTCCGCCTGCACCCGGACATGCACAACAGTTCCCTCACACAACCAATCTGGCAGGGAAAATCGAGTGTTTCAACTGCAAACAGCCCGGACATTTCGCCAGGGACTGCCCGCAGCCGAAACGAAATCAACCCCCACCTGCTGCAGCCCCCGTAGCTCTGAATCAAGAACGAGTGGCCGCATTAATGGATACGGCCCGAAGTGAGGAGATCATCGCATACACCCCTGAGCTCCCTTCCCCCTCCATGACAGTTGCATCAACCTCTTCCTCCGACGCTGCTGACGTGGTCGATCCGCTCGAATACCTTCATCTCGCCGGAATGATCGGAGCAATCCGACCAGCTGAGGACGATCTTGAATGGGTCGAACGCGAATCTAACCCCGGACCACAGTTTCGGACGGGCAAAATCGATGTCCTAAGAACGCTTAAGCAACTGGACATTCGTGTTCCGGTCCCGGTGGGGCACTTGCTCACCATATCCGAACCAGCGAATGACAAACTGTTGCAACAATGTCAGAAGAATCAAAAACGTTTTACGTACCAGAGCATACAACGGATGCTGAAAAAGAAAAAGAAAGAAGGAGCAGAGGAAGTTGCATCGCCCGAACCCGAAGAAGGTGAACCCGAAGCAGTGCGAGTAGCTGCCATTTCGTTAGCAGAGAAAGATCACTTCGTGAGAGCTGGACCAGTGCTGTGGAAAAGTGTTGAATGTGATTGCGAGGTATGGGGCAAACCTTTTAACGCCCTCATCGATACCGACTCCTCTTCGGTCGCCATTTCATTCGACACCGTGAAGAGAACAGGACGACTCAATTCGATTCTCCCTCAATCTGGCAAGGACCAATACGTCTCTGCCGACGAGGAAGCAATGAATATTGTAGGAGTCATCGAGAATGTGGCCGTGAAAGTTGGACGACTACACGTCCTCGTTAACGCCTTAGTCATAGATGTGCACTCATATTCGGTATTGTTGGGACTGCCTTGGGCAATGGCGGTAGGTGCCCGCCTGCATTTCGATTCCAAACAATTGGTGCTCATGCAAACCGGAGGAAAGCCTCAGACGGTTCCGTTGCGGATTTCAACCCGGGCAGTAAAGAGGAATCCCAACCCTGCTCGGATAGGGATGATTCAAGGTCCCGATCACGAGGAGTCTTCATCCACAGATGACATTAGTGGATTCGAAGAGCAGGAGTGCGAAGAAGAGATGCATAGCGAGAGCGAATGGAAACACTTGGTTGACCTTTTCGAGCACAAACCCTCGAGGAGTTTCGCATGATCCCCAGAGCCGCCCGAACCTTCCATCCGGAAGACGGCACGGTCGCGCCTATGGAAACCCAGGTCAGTTCTTCGATCTTTCTCGGAGAACCCATTTTGCAAATATATGACCTGGCAGACGATTTGGAACCCCCTCGCACCTTGTACGAGGGAACACTTTCCCTTCGAGCACGCTATCAATAGGCGAAACAATATCTAGATGTTTCTGTTTCCCCTCCAAGATCACTGCTTACGGCAGGAACGGCCATCGCTCTTATTAAACAAGAAGTCGGAGGTCCTGTCGATGATGTGCCCGATCTAATGCAGGAAATGGTGGATCTAACGGGACTGACAGTGGAAGGAACCTCGGCTGATTCGGAAACTGATGCTGAAGCTAAAGAGACAAAGATGATTAGCCCTGCTGAATCAGATGATCGCGACTGTGTTTTCTGTCCGTACTAGCAACTCTATTTTCTCTAGCGTCCACACCCGACTTGATCGGCCTGCGGATTGGATCGATATGCCTCTTGAAATACCCGATCAACCAACCATCACTCTGCCCAATCACGTTCCCTTGGAATCCCGACGATCGCTAATTAGCGTCTTGAATGGGTACGTGGAGGTATTGAGTGTGCGCGATAATGATATTGGGCTGTCTAATGTGATCGAGCATGCCATCCTAACGGGGGATCACCCACCCATTAGCTGCGTTCCTTATCGATACTCGCCAGCCCAACGGGCGGCCGCGTTTCAGCGGATTAAGGAATTTGAAGCTAATGGATGGATCGAACCCGCAATAGGACCTTGGTCGTTTCCTGTGGTAATAGTGCCCAAAAAGGCCGGAGGGATTCACATATGCATTGATTATCGAAAGCTGAATGATATCACGATCAAAGATGTGTATCCACTTCCCCGGATTGATGAGTTGTTGGATGCAATTGGGAGTGCTCGTTTTTTCAGTAAGTTTGATGTCCGACATGGGTTTCATCACCTTCTTGTTCGAGAGGAGGATCGTCCGAAAACGGCGTTTGTGCTGCTCGAAGGTACCTGACCATGGGATCGGTGTCCGATGGGCAGCTGCAATGCTCCCGCAACCTTCCAGCGAGCCATGAATATGGTTTCCAGAACTTTGTGCGGAAGACACGGCTGACCCAGAGCATTATCAATTATTGTGTGATCGTGTACATGGATGATATTCTGGTGTATTCAAGTTCCTACGAGGGACACGTGCAGCACATCGAGTGGACGCTGCACGCTTTGAAAGATGCTGGTTTCAAGGTGGCGCTCGAGAAATTTCAGTTCTTTCTCACCACCATTTCCTTTCTGGGACACGTGGTGACAGACTAGGGACTCAGACCGGAACCGCAAAAGGTGGCAGCCGTGAGAGACGCACCTGTGCCCACGACTATCACTCAAGTTTGCGCCTTTTTGGACCTGGCCTCGTACTACCGAAGGTTTATCAAGGGCTTCACGGCTATTGTGGGTCCCCTCACGAATCTGCTGAAAAAGGATCAGTCGTTGATCTGGACGCCAGAGTGTGACCAGGCGTTCTCGAAACTCAAGGCAACCCTTATTTCGGCTCCGGTCCTTATAAGACCGGATCCTGCGAAGCCTTTTGTCCTCATCACAGACTGGCAGCCAGAGGCAATCTCAGCGATCTTGGCTCAGGTGGGACCCGACGGACTCGAATGCGTGGTGGAGTATGCGTCTAAGTCGGTGCCTGCTTGCAAGCGTAATTACGCTGCCCCGACAGGGGAATGCTATGCAACTCTGTGGGGGAGCAGCCACTTTTGAGCCTATCTGTACGGGCGGAAATTCACACTGGTTACCGATCATGATCCACTATTAGCCCTGAAGAAGTCTAAGGATTACTCGGGCATGATCGGGAGATGGGCGACAGTGCTGCAGAGCATGGACTTTGACATTCGTCATCGGAAGCACGAGAGGCACGAGAATGCTGAGGGGTTGACACGACTGCACCGACCCGAGAAGGTCCTCAAGAGCGAAGAAGTGATTCCGTCGAACGAGCCGAAGGAGAAGAACGGACCGCGATACAGACAAGTGGAAATTCTGTCGAAGGAGTGAGTGACACGTAGCTTCACTCTGCCCTCTCTGCAGCCCTGCTCACTCTCTTTCTCCTCCTCTATCATCATGGCTACTCCACCTGTCTCCGCAACCCCTTCTTCCCCTGCTGAGTCCGGCCCTCTCGCCTCATCGACTTTCTTCGCCACCCTTCCCGATAAATTTTGCTAATTTTGTACGTGTATTACAGGGGATATGGGGTGAAATACCATCCCTATGAGACTGGATTCGTTGAGTGGGTAAACTGCGCCACGTGCGTCAATCGTGCACACGGTGCATGTGTTCGATATCGAACAAGTAACAGGGAATGGAAATGCCCTTTGTGTAGGACGGAGAAACTGCCTACTGAGGTTCGATTCGAGGCTGCCCGTACGGACGACCCTGAATACGACGAGAAATACCACTGAGCGGAGGTCTGGACGGACAAAATCCTATTGGCTAAGCTGGCTGGGTTACCTTTGGATCATCTCACCAAGCACGACAGACGTCGGGCTACCGAGAGATCTCGGGATTATCGATGGATCAACGGTCACCTAGAAAAGCGTAAAACTGACGGATCGGGTTTATGGTTGACGGTTCCTCATCCGTTCCAGAGATATGATTGGACCCGATCTGCTCATGAAGAACAGGCTGCTCACTTCGCGATACATGTCACGGAGGCAACTATAGATCAGAATCGATGGTTCTGGTGAATCTGGTCTAATATACGGGACGATGTCAAATATGTAGTTGCCAACTGTCTGGTCTGTGCCGCCGATCGCGCCCCAATACGGGGACCAAACTCGATAGTACCGACAGAAGTAGAGCACCCTTTCCAGCGAGTCAGTATGGACACGACAGATATCGACGTGCCACCTGGCCCAAACCGTTGGGAATATTTCATTCGTTTAGTTTTAATAGATCATTTTTCCAAATACATCGAAGTATACCCCTGCAAGACCCTTAAGGCCGCAGAGATAGCCACGTACATCGATCGGTTTCTCTATACTCACCTAGATACAGAGGAAATTCTAACCGATAATGGGTCTGATTTTAAAGGTGGGGTAGAGGAATTACTCGCACGAAGAGGCATTACGCTTTGACTTACGGCACCCCACGTTTCCCAGTCCAACGGGTTGACCGAAAATGCCAATCGAATGATTAAGACCGCCCTCCGTAGAAATCTAGCGGCGCGTGACACGTGTCCCTGGCCCGAGATCGTATACCAAATCGTCGGAATTCACCAGGCCACCCCTCATGAATCCACGGGGTTTACCCCCTTCCAGCTTCGAACCAATAGCCTCCCATGCGTCGATTTCCGGGGCAACTCGGAAATTGCCAAAGCGGGGGGTAGAGACACGCGTGCCGCCCTTAAGGCCAAAGCCAAAAGGTATGCCGATTTAATGGAACGGGCCGTTCCGAAGCCAGCCCGAAAAAGACAGAAAATGATTGATCTAGCCCACGGAAGACAAGTCCGTAGCTACGAGGCCCGAAATGGAAGGTACGTAAATGTGCACGCAACCGCAAATCGCTCCCAAGTTTTCTGGTTGTTTTCGCGTTGTCGAGCTCGGACCTAACGGTGCCAACATGGTGCGCATCGCGCCCGAGGCAAGCGCCAACCATAGCTCTGTCCCCATCGTCCGCCATACTTCCTACATCCGTCCACTCCCTCCCTCCGATCTCCCTCCATCTCCCTCATCTGCAGACGAAGAGGACGAAGACGATCTAGCTCCCGCTCCGCTCTCTCCCTCCTGCTCCCCTGCTTCATCTTCTCCCCCGTCCTCGCCATGAGTTTCATCACGGAGCGAGCTCTTGGCAATCATCTGCTGCAGCCACATGGCTACATCTCCGAGATCCGGCAAGTTCGTCATCCGCGGCTCAGTCTTGATCTGCGAAGGGTAGCGCAGTTTTTCTGCGTCGAGGGAGTGTGTGCTGCTGCTGCGTTCCGATTCGCTGGGAGTCAGCAGGCGGTAGTATTGGCAGAGGTGGTGACTCTTCATCGATGAGTGGCTCCAGGGACGAGCCACGTCACTACGGTCGCTGCCTTGAGCGGTGATATCAGCACGATCAGCCCCTTGCGGCATACGACGATCTTGACCTCCTTGCAAGAGTGGGCGCAGTAGTTGTCGACTGATTGGCATCACGGTCTCGCGCGTCCAGGTTACAATCTGTTCCTGACATCCGGGACGGACTTTGACGTCCGCACTTCTCCGCGCGAGCCGGCAATCGCGCTCCCCACCCTCATCCCCTTTCAACGCCCCCAATGAACCGTGCCGCTCCCCTTGCTCCTCTCTCCACCTTCGGTCTCCCCTCTTTTTTCCCCACCTTCTGGCAATCCGATCTCCATCCTCGCCTTTCTTTCTCCCTCCAGCCTCTCGCCGTTCCGCTCCTCGATCCTGGACATTGGCGGTTGTGGCGCGAAACCTTTGTCGATTTGTCTGTGTGCTTGGCCCGAGTGCAGGTGACGTGGACGCGGACCAGTGAGCAGACTGCGTGCATCGAGTACCTGGAGCTGCTGATCATCCAGGCCTGGAGAACGGATGTGGAAGGTGATCTTCTCGGTTTCGTCTTCGGATCGGTGCGGCCAGGCCATCGCCAGCCTATCGTTCAAGAACTCATCGTCCCGATCGTGCAATTAGCTGACGATCTCCTCCTCGACATCGTATCGCAAAGTGACGATAGTCCCGCCTCGCATGTCATCACGAGGGCGTTAACACCGTATCTTCAGTGGACTGCTTGCTTGGAGGAACCCGGGAGTGACAGCACCTTGCCATCACGACAGGAGTACTTGAAGCCGTACGAAATCATTGATCGCGCCTTCTATCCGAGGGAGCCTGAGGAGGTGTTTCATGGAAAAGAAGAAGCCACAAAAGAAGAAGGCGACGCCGACGAAGAAACGTCGGAAGAAGGAAGCTATAGTGAGTTCAGCGAAGGAGAGAAGAGTGAGGAGGAGGAGGAGCTAGAAGAAGAAGAACAAGACGGAGAGGAGGGAACCGGATCGGAGTGGGAGGACTTGCCTGAGGAAGCGGCACGTACAGGTACGGAAGCGGAAGATCCCGAAGCGGCACGTAGAAGGGAAGAAATCGCTTCCGGGAAAAAACAGCTGGAGATCGCCAGCGGGGCGAGCCTGTGCATCAACGACGACCCAACCAGGGATCCAGAGGCCCCCGAGCCCGAAGATGGCGGATCAGTAACCGCGGCTCCGAGCACATCACGACGGAGACGGAGCCGATCCCCCTCCCCCTCCACCCCAACCCGTCCCCCAGTTCGTCCACGCACCGATGCGGGGAATCGGCCTTCGTCCCCGGTCGTTATCCCGCCGTCCCCTTGATTACCTCACCCTTTGCCAAATCTCTACCCCCGTCACCTTCCCTCGCAACCCCTTCCCTCCCAACACTTTCAAGCACTTTTATTCCACCCGTCTCACCGTCACCGTCCATCCCAACCCCTCCCTCCAAGCCGCGAACCCCACGTTCTGTCTACACGTCCTTCTGTTCAATGCAGCGTGGCAACAAAGTAACGCAGTAGAAGTCTACTGTGTAATCACCGAGACCATCCCCGCGTGTCGCCATCACGAGCAGTTTCGCGCGGCACTCTTCCGCACCTTCTTCACCCTCTACCCTGACTACCTCGCCTCCCTGTCCCACAACGGCGATCTGTTTCCCCGCTTTCACTGGATCATCCGCTACGAAGAGCCCCCGATCACGGAGGAAGGGATGAACCGATACTTACCCCCACTACCCCTCAACCCTCCCCGTCGACACCCCTCCATGTATAATGTCTACTTCCCCATCCCCACACGGCGTTGAAACCCGTCACGTGTCCCCGAGCAGTACGAATCAACAGTTTTCACGAAGATCACGCCATTGACGATGACGTCAACTTATACTCTGATTCGACCGATTGCGCTAGACTGGAGGTGTAGAGCACACGGAGATCTGATGGACCATGATGGTGCCACTTGGACGATCTTCGAAGTTCGAAGGACAGGGGGTTGCATATGACAGGGCTGCCGAGAGTGGGATATGAAACCGCACGAGCCGACATGATCCGCAACGATCTTGCCATGGATGTTGCCGCCAGCTCATCATGCTGATCCAAGCTCCTATTTCGTCCTGCTTCTTCGTTCCTTGTACTTCTTCCGGTTTCTTCGTCCCCTCGTATTCCCTTTGTTCGAGCTCTCATGCAATCAGGAGATTGCATAATTTTGGAACCCCCTTCGCGTCACATATGTGACGAACCACTTCCCGACCCCGTGCTATCTTTCGTACCCCTTGACCCAAAACCCCCTTGGTGTATCATACCGACCCACAGAACCTTCGTCGCTTTTTTTTTTTTCAGGCGCCTTGTTTGGGCCCCCATTTTTCGGAAGTTCTATTGATTCTTGGAATAATGTTTTTTGTAATTCGGGAAATGCACGGGAAATTACTCGCGCCTTAGTGAGCGCAATGGGAATCGGGCTCGACAGTTAGGAATTACGGAATAAGTGGAGCCCGACGTATCTTTTTCCTTGCATGAATGTTCTCGGTCATGTCGGAGAAAACTTTAGGAATTTTGTGAGAATACCGAGAGGCGTAGGAATTTCTTTTCCCGCGTCGGCTTTCGCGCGCGGATATAGTGATTTTCAATTTTTGAATTGGTTTTGGGCATAGGCAAGCTGTAACTATTTTGGTGCCTTTTTCTCTTGTTGTCGGCACCGCGCATGCGAGCTTCCTCCTCCTTACTTCCCGCGCCACTCTTCTCCCACGCTCTCTTCTCTCTCCCTTCCCCCTTCTCTTCTTCTCTTATCGCAACTGTTTTTCCCTCTTTCTCTCTCTCTTCACTTTTGCACGCCTGTTTCCCTTTCTTGATCGTCTGAATCTTGGACCTGTCTCGCGCTGCTTTTCGCGCCTCGTCTCTTCTTGCTCATCAACCTTGGCTCACGAAGCCCGGTTGATCCTCCGGCCACCCCTGCTCACCAATCAGACGCATTGAGTAAGAGGATCTTCCTATTGCGCGAAGAATCTAATTGGCCGACCACTGGGTTCTGAAGGATCAACATGGCTTCCCCTGAGCCCCCTTTGCCGAACCTTCTCTCCTTACACCTCGATCTCCCCTCTGACTCTTCCCCCATCTATTTCCTCTCTCGCAACCATAAATTCCGCAAGCGCGCCCGCAAATCTCTCTTACGTTTTCCACTCGCAAAACAGCTTCCGGGAAGTAGTGGCTAGGTGGTGTGTTTGGTGCGAGTCCAAAAGTCCTGTCGGGCTGACTGTAGTCTGGCCGGTTGCGCGGTTGATCGCCACGACCGACTGTGGGATCCAGGCGAGCCGAGTCGAGGCTACGTCAGCGGGGTGACGATCGCAGTGGTGGAAGTTAGCACGCGACGGTCGGGATCGTCGGTGCGGGTATGAGGACGTGTGATTGGAGTTGAGTGGATGATTGGCCCGGGGCCATATTGCAATTCTACGGCGAATGCGCCTTCATTGCGGATCATTTTTTCGGGTGTGAGTTCATGGCTGTGAAACCGAATGCTCTCGTGTCGGATTCTGGTGTCTTTTGTCTCAACTTTCCTTGTCTATCCCTCCCACCCCTCTCTCTCCCTCTCCCTCTGACTTGAATGATGATGCATTGATGGTTTGTCCCTCTTGTGAACAGAGGCGAACTCGCGAGAGTCCTCACAAGGAAGAACTTCTTTCGGAACTCTTCCATTAGTTTCCTGGGTAATCCCCAGATGTCGAGGGTTTGATCCCCCTTGTCTTGTGAACGGTGGATGCGCGTGTACAAATCCCTCCGTTGATTTTTGACCTGTGTATCCTTGTGATTTTTGCACCTTCCACAGTGGATGTATGTGTGGACGTTGCTTGTCTTTTTGCGTTGATTAGACTCAGCGCTTGATGGGATTTTGTTTGAGAATGCAAGAGTGTTTAGATCAGTGGTTTGACTGCACTGCGCATGCCATCTGCCTTATGCTGCACGACATTAACCGATAGTCAGTGAGGCAGCCTCGAAGAAACTAGGCGCCTCGTGTTTTTGTTGATCAAGTCTGCTGAAACTGAGTCGCGGGTTGATCCCTCGGAACTCAAACCCGACTCATGCATGATTGTGCGGGTTTCATAAGTTGCCTCTCTCGTGTCTAAAGGAAGAAAGACACTAATTATTTCTTTTTGTGCTTTTTGATGACGTCTCGAGTATTCGCGTAAACTCCGTCTGGTTAATTGATATGTGGACTAACGTTCGTCCTTCGGTCGGGCGCCAACCTTCCGTATCTCCCTTGTCGACGCGCCCCTTCCCCTACAACGAGGAAAGGACACGTGTATGCGAATGGGACGTACGGGAAGCTGTAGCACGCATCGGCGGACAATATTACTTCCCTCCTGAAAATCGTTGTTCCGGGTGCGTGGATGCGGGTTTTGTCATCATCGATACGCATTTTCCACCTAACTCAGTGTTATTGTCATTTAACGAGCTGATCGTCATTCCGTGGACGGCAGTGGCGCCCCATTGGCCTCGAGCCCTGTGCATTCAGTGCCAGCGTTTCGATCGCTACGAATCAAAGGGCTTCCACTACCGGATACGGAGTAAGGACGAGCACAAGGAAAGAGCCACGCGTCTGAGACCATCCACGTCAGACTCAGAACTGACCAACGAGCGATGTCGGGACTTGATACGGAAACGGGATACGTGGAGTGTGCCGAAGCCCTTCCGCTCTAAACGAAGATCGGTAGCGCGGTGGGAAGCTCGACAATACTTTCTGCATTGAATTTGGATTTTTCTCTTTCGCGCCGTACCCGCGCGCGCATTCCGCGACGCGCGAAAGCAACCGACTTACTTCATCGGGCCAACACGGGGGATTTCAGTTATGTCTGTGTCCCCACACTCAATTTTCCAAAAATCCTTGGCACACCCCATCTTGTTGTTTTTGCTGGGCCTTCATTCCGCACCTTCAGCACTCCGAATGAAAGACAGCCCAGGGCGTGAGGTTAGCTCGTCACATGTGAGCTTGGACAGCCGTGCTCCGGGTAACTAGGGTTCATGGGCCTCTAGGGTGCAGAATCCTTGGTTGTTTGTCTGCACTCTGTATATCACGAGTGACAGGGACAGGTCTGTGTATTTGACTAGTACCCAATCCCCTTGTTGGACGGTAGGTCCTTTCTTGAGGGCCAGTTCACAGGCTAGCGGTATGGCTTCCCGTAATGTGTGGAGCTTGTCTTTCACATTTTTGGTGTACTTCAGCTGCTGTTGGAGCCGAGTGGCGGTGAGCCATTCCCCTCTCTGCACGCCACAGAGGCTCCCAATTGTGTATATACCTTTCTTGACCCAGGTGAGCCATGGTGAGTTTGCCATCAAGGGGAAGGGACTGCCTGCTTCGTCGATGATGTAGGGATTGCCAAACAGAGGTGGCCGCCATATATCGTGCCACCTGTTGGGGGGTCTTTTATGTTTTGGTCCTGATTGTCTCCACAACTTGATCATGTTCGGCCACAGAGGGTCCCTTGCTATGTCTTGTTTGGTGGCTTGCGCCGGTGTGTGATGTTGCCCGTGCCGGTGGGGAGAGGGTATGGAACAATGGGCATTGGTGAGCCATTGAAGGGGTTGTACCTGTTGGGCGGCTGTTGTGTCCGGCGCCAGTGGTGCCCAATGTATCCCATTTTTGGTGAGGAGTCTGATCAGTACTTTGAAGATGAGGGCCTCACTCTGCCTTTCCGGGTCGAGTATCCCCTGTCCCCCTTTTGTCCTTGGGTGGGTCAGTACATCCCACTTCATCCGGTTCAGGCAGCCTCGGGCTTCTGAACTGTTCTTCCATAGGTAGGTCGTCAGGGCCTTTCTATGCCTTGCATTTTTCTTTTGGTTCAGAGGCCACACCGCCAGTTTGTTCCAGATCTCTGCTAGGATGGCATTGTTGATTGTGAGTGCTCGTCCAACTAACGAGGTGTGCAGGTCAGCCCATTTTCCCAGTCTATCCACCATGAGGTCCACCAAGTTATCGCTGTGATCCGAAGGGGGGCCAAGTGCTGTTAGTTTGACGCCCAAGATTTTAATTGCAGCCTCCTTTGTTGCCCATGAGGCCAACGACTGTGGAGGGGGCCCTATTTCATGTGGGTTTAGCCACCATCCTTTGTTTTTGCACCCCACTTTACCTTTATGTCTTCTGCCAGTGAGAAAGGTGGATGACCTGCGTTAGGGCTTGGAGACTTTGGTGATCTGCTCTAATGAGAACAGTGAGATCGTCTACGAACAGTGATGCTACCGGTATGAAATGTTGTGGCAGGTCCGGGATGGGCACTTTGTGGATCTGCGGATGAGCTTTGATGAGCGATGCTAAGGTCTCCATGGCAATGACGAAGGGAGGGGCACTATGGGGTCTCCATGGCGCACCGATCTCTGGGGGATCGGGGATGCTAAGCGACCATTTAACATGATGTTGGTTGAGAC